GAAGAAGGAACATTTTCTTTTTAAAAAACATTTATTCAAAATGGACATTTCTGGGTTCTGTGATTTGAACAAGCCTTAAGATTGTGCAAGATGCCTTTAAGTAACCAAGAAAGCAAAACCAGGTTTGGGCTTGCTTTGAAGTGGCAATTCTTTTGTGCAGAGTAGAGTGGAGGATGAGCGTTAAAGAGCCATTATGCAGAGTACATTTCCTAACCCCACTAAATAAATGATGACAAAACAGATCATAAATAAGCAACTTCTTATTTGCTGTTGAGCTTGAGTTAATGTCCAGTCACGTTTTCCTGTATCATTTGTTCTCTTCACAGCTTTTGGTTAAGGAAACGATAATTGGCCTTTTTTGTTACATTTCACACTAAATACCCTTGTTTCTACAGTGCTTTTTAAATTTTATGATCACTATTGGTTTGGCTCAAACATTCATGCACATGGACTTCAGTTCTCACTTTGCAGAACATATGTGACTCTTCCACTTACAAACTCATGTACAATGCAAAATGAGAAGCCTCTGAAAGGAAGCTGGCCAGTTTTATCCCCAGGGAAATTGAATTGTTTTCACTCTTGGCAAGCTAGTCTCACATTCCTTCCCTTGTCTGTGTAGGGGGAGAAAAACTCCCACTGAGAGCTGTTCAGATGTAATGGCAGATGGTAGGCTGGGGAGTCCCCAGTTCCAACTTTGCCTCAGCCATGAATTCACTATGTGGCTGTGTAGGCAAGCCACTGTGCTCTCCGCCTCCATACCTTCTTCGGCATCATGGGGGAAACAGTGGCTTCCCAGACAAGATCGTTGAAAGTATTATTTGTATGAGTAATTAGGGCTTAACTATACAAAGCCTGCTCCCAGCTTTATCCCAGATCTAGTCAAGCAGGTGTAAACTGAAGTTTCCAGATGAAGTGTAAATTACAAAGCATGCAGGGGCCAATTCAGACCAGAGCAACAGTATGTGGAGAACATAAGCCTCCCACTCCCGTGCCATTTTTCTGACCTGAAATGGCCCTGGAGAACTGCTGTTTACCTACTGGGGAAACTTGTGAGTAACTCAACAGCAAATAGGAGCTCTCCAGGGGGTTGAGGGTAAGTGTCATGAACCCCTCTGGGCCAGACTCAGGAACAGATTCCTCAGATGATGACCAGTATGAGCCAGATACCATTCTAAGGGAAGATCAGGAGGCTCAGAAGACACTCAACACCACTGGACCCCCTCCAGACCCCAAGCCTCTTCCAGACTCAGAGCCCCTGGATCCTTAAGCCTCTGTTGAAGGATCTACCCCTGGAGACTTATCTCTGGGCAGTGCTGCCAGTATGCCAGAATCCAGGGCAGCCAATCCCTTGTCTTGTAGGGCTAGATCCTGGAGTACCAGTTTTCAATTTTTTCCAGAAAGAGCAACAGAGATGGATGAAGAAGCCAGGAGGAGGCAATTCGGTGATGAAGAAGTGCCAGGCTGGCAGCCCGTGTTCCAGCTGCTGAGCCAGATCACAGCCTAAGTGCACTTAATGCTTTTCAGGACTGGGGTTCAATGAATCTCTGGTCAGATGAACAGGTGGGGCCTCTTGCCCTCCAGGTTACTTAAACCCTGGGCTAAGCATGGAACCTTGCTGACCATTTTGAATGGTCAGCTTCCTTCCATGCTATCTATGAGACTAGACTCAGCACCTGTATCTGCTTCAAGTCCTTGCTATTGGAGTCAGAACAGTAAGCCCCCATTCCTTCCATTCTGAGGTCCTAAATTTGAATTGGGCTCCTGTGCACCTGGGAATCTAAGTTTCTGCAAAACATGTTTGCTTGACAGGATGTGGGGTAGACTTTGGTAATAAGGCCTTATGTGAAGCACTTTGAATGCTTTAAAGCACGATATGCATTTTAAGTGTTATTGCTGTTATTATTACTGATAGTAGTAGTACTATTAGTATAGAGTATTAAGTGATTGTGAGTGAAATCCTAAAGGCAAGGTAACTGTATGCATACTAAAGACCAACTAAAATCAATGTGACTTAAAATTTATTATTGATTTCGGTGGGAACTAAGCACATCTAAATTTCTCTGGCTTATAGCCTTCTGCCCCGGTGCACAGACCATAAGGATCAGTAATATGCTTGGGTTATGCATGTATTATTATTATTATCATGAAGGAGATATTTCCCCCTGATTTCCTACAGTGCAGCACATTTACCCAGTCTTTGAGGAACACAAATCTGGGCAGAAAAGTCCATTTGTGGGGGT